CAACAAAGTAGAGTTTAATGCTGGTATTGTTACTAATACTGGTTTATAGAAATCCGTATATAACCAATTTGTTTTAATCGACTTAATGTGTGGTATATGAATCAATAGTTGAACAAGCTCGTCACGATTAAGAGAGGGTAGAGTTAACAATTCTAGTTTTGTCCGCTTCTTTATTACTGGTAACGAGAGAATTTGAGAATTTTTACGACTTTGAAAAACAAAGTGTTTAAGAGAATGAAAACCATGATTCTCAACGAAGATTAATTCTAGCAATCGTTTCAAATATTGATCATAAGTAGCGATAGATCCGACTTGAATATATAAATACTCAAAATGTGGCAAAGTTGCCAGTTGTTCTATGAGTACAAGTGAACAATCGCTCATCATTGCACCAGAATAGACGAGTGAAAGACATCGTAGTTGGCTGAATGTATTAATTGGCCAATGAGTAAAGAATTCTTCAATTTGATATTCTTCGTAGAATTTGAACGATTTGACGTTCACACGACTCTTAACTGCTGGAAGAATCGCATAAGACGAGAAATCATAATTTTCCGTTGTTGCAACCTTGAAATACAGTGGAGTACTTTCAGAAAGTATTGAAGTTATTTTTGAGTTTAAATTGTCAAATATACGATAGAGTTCAATTGCATCAAAGAATTGAAAGACTTCACACCATAACTCAGTTGGAAAATTTTCAATTGTGCTAGGAGAATCGATCTCAGACATTCTCTGTATACAAAATCTAAAATAAATTAAGTGAAAGAAAAATATTTTGTAGAAGCACTTTTTTATAAATATCAAACATGTCCGAAAGAGAACGCAAGTTTCGACATGACGATGTGTTATTAACGCTCTTACTCAACTCGTCACAGAATAAAAAAAAAAAAAGAAAAAAAATCTTATCGATGCAATACCATTACCCCTAGTGTAAATATTTGTTTAGCTGCATCCCTTAAAAGAAAAAGAGAAGAAAGGATACATAAACCTATAATCGACGCGTTTCTCGATTGCTAAACCTCTGTAAAAGGTTTATAATTTATCAAGATATACGATTAATTATCGTAATCGATTAGATTTTTTTTAACCCTGTAAAAAGCCTAATAAGAACAGTTTTATTTGTCAAAGCAGTAAGAAATGCTTACTATTTGTTACTTTTTCTTTACGAGTATTTACAATATGCCAGATAAGATAGTAGGTATCCACTATGTAGGTAAAGTATAAAAACAAATGTGTTTTTAAACATTTTCATAGTTCTTTTGGTTTTATTTTGTTGAAGGTTTGTTCTTAGGTAGATACATAGGCCTTTTTGTCTTAAGTGCGACTCACACTCATCGTTACTATGTTCCAACGTACTTTCTTACAATCTTTCATTTAATTTCAAATTTAAAAGTTAAGATAGATTATTATTGTATATATAATTCTAGAAAGTTTTACGTTTTTTACAACAACGAAAAAGAAATACGAAGCACGATGTCTCAAGCAAATAACAATTTCAATTTCAATATATTTTGTTTACTTGATACTTGTATTAATATGGAAGAAAATATAGATATTCAACAAAAACTTCTTCTCTTGAATCATTATTTAGAAATATTTAAAGAACTCGATCAATGTGAACAACGTATTCAATCAATTTCTTCAAGCAATAAACTTATTCTAATCGTTAGCGATGATTTCGGCCAACAATTAATACCACAAATTCATCAACTTTCACAAGTTTATTCAATTTATATTTATTGTCATGAACAAGAATTTAATCAACATTGGACTCAACAATATAACAAGGTAATTCATCAGCTCAAATAAACGTAAGTGTTTTTTGTTATTTTTAGGTGAGAGGCATTTATTATGAAATTGATCAATTGATTGCATCTATAAAATGTAATGAAGTAGGAAGAATGATGAATACTGTAGATGAACCACTTTCTATGAGTATTTCCAATACAAATAAAAATTGTGATCAAACAACAAGTGATCTTGATGGTCGATTTGTTCATTCACAATTACTCATCGATTGTCTTCTACGAATGGAACCAATGTTAACAGATAAAAATGAGTTTATTTCTTTTTCTTTAAATGAATATCATGATAATGAAGATATGTTAAAGATAATTAAAGAATTCGAAGATGAATATTCATCAGATCGAGCAATATGGTGGTATACAAGAGAAACATTTATCTATCGATTATTAAATAAAAGTCTTCGTATTCAAAATATTGATTTATTATTTTGTCTTCGATTTTTAATTCGTGATATTGAACAACAACTTCAACAATATAAATGTTCATCGCCTATAATTGTTTATCGTGGTCAATTAATATCTAGTGAAGAACTTGAATTATTAAAACAATCGAAAGGCACATTAATTTCAATGAATTCTTTTTTATCTACTAGTCTCAATCGTAGTACAGCTCTTGAATTTCTTAATACGAATATGAATGATAATAAATTACAACGAATATTATTTGAAATCAATGCTGATCCATGTCGAGATGGTATGAAACCATTTGCTAATATTTCATCATTTAGTTATTTTCCTACAGAAGACGAAATATTAATGATGTTAGGATCCGTTTTTCGAATAAATAATATCTATCTTGATGAAAATCAAATATGGATAATGAATATAACTCTTTGTAGTGATAATGATCATGATTTAAAATCAGTTGTTCATTCTATGAAAAATCAATATGGTTCCGAGCAAACTAGACTTCTTTTATTTGGACATGTCCTTGTTGATATGGCTCATTTTGATGATGCAGAAAAATATTATCATCGTTTACTCAAAGATTTAACATCTGATGATAATGATATTTGTAATTGTTATCATGCATTAGGTAAAGTTGCTTGTGAAAAAGGTGATTATGATTTAAGTCTTAGTTGGTTATATAAATCATTGGAAATCTTGGAACGAAAACTAAAGAAAAATCATTCACGAATTGGTTTTATTCATACAAGTATCGGAGAAGTTTATCAAAATAAAGGTGATACGAAACAAGCATTACATTCATATGAAAAAGCATTGAAAATTTGGGTAAAAGCTTATAATGATAAACATGAATATGTTGCTTGGTGTTTTAATAATATTGCAAATATCTATACTATGGAAAAGAAATATTCGGAAGCACTTGAATATCATAAAAAAGCATTAGAGATTAAAGAAAAAATTCTTCCATCATCACATCCTTGTTTAGGTAATGCATATCTTAATCTTGGTAATGTTTATTATTATGTGGGTCAATATAATGAAGCATTGAGGAATTATGAATTGTCAAAGAAGATCTATGAAGCTTCTCTTACTCCTCGACATCCTTCACTTGCACGTGCATTGAAAAATATTGGACTTATTTATCAAATTAAAGGTGACTTTTCTGAAGCTATGAAGTATTATAAAAGAACATATTTTATTCGTGAAAAATGTTTTTCTTCGTCACATCCAGATGTAATTGATATCAAACAAGATATTGAACGTATATCAAATAAATAGAATTTCCTTACGTAATCAACTAATATATATGACTTAATTGCAACATTTCGGTACAATCAACGCGAAAAACTGAAAGTGGACCTAAGCAACTTTTGAGTAGTGCATTTTGTTATACTGTATGCATGTATTATGCACAAAAAATTTCCCAACACTTTACTGTATAATAAGGGAGATATACAGTACATAGATCATTTTCTACTAAACTCAATGTAAAATGTGCTTGAAAACAACATTCTCGAATAGAATCAGGAAGATATATCTACGAAAAAGTGTCACTCTACATTCCTTTCATAAAAATGCCACTCTACATTCTTCAGTATAATGTAAATTTCTCCTGAAGGATACAAGATCAAGAGCTATAACGCAGACAATTTTCAAATTGTCACTCTACAAAGTAAGTAAACTTCTGTTTTTTAGAAAGTTCTATTATTTTTGTTTGAAATGAACTTGATATGAGAGAACCCTTTCGCATCAGTTTGCTAGTTAAAGTGTTGGCTTTCTTTCTATATCATCCGCACACTGTCAGCTCTATCATAGGCTGAGGTACAATCATGTTTTCATTACTCTACATAAAAATGTATTAGTGTCTGTTAACCCTTTCAGGCCTACTGCTCAGCCAATGAACGAAATTTCTTTTGGATATTATATTTAATACTACCAACTTGTACTGTGAATATTTTCACCAAAAATTTTAAAAAATCTCCCAACTCATTTTTTGACCTATTCTCGTAGGGGGTACGGCAGCAGTGAGAATTCGATCGAGACCTATCGTAAAATCAACTTTCGGAGTATCATAAGGAAGCGCTCGTAACTTGATTTCAGCGGAGAAAAGTGAAATATACTTAGAGAATCGCGAAAGAGTATCATCTGTCTTCCTTCTTCTAGAGGTAGTATTCCAAAAATTCTTCAAGTTTATTACCTAACTTACTCCATTAAAGTTATAATTCTTCTAGAGATGCATGCACAGAAATCTCTTCTATGCCATGGAGCAAATCGCACCTCAACACCTTTTTACGTTCACGAGGTATCGAAATATTTAGAAAGTTTGAAACATGTGTACTGTATGATGTATGCTGGTTCTCAAGGGGTTAACTTTTGGTAATTTTTATCACATGAGCGGACTTATTATAACTATAGTCTTCATGTACACTTGTACGCCAGAGCCTCCTCTATACAACAAAAAAAACCGCAATTGAATATCTAATAGCGTTCGCAAGATATTGAAAAAATACAAAAATTAAAAAAACCGTACTATATTTAGTACAGTAGACCTGAAAGGGTTAAACAATGTGAATGGTAAATGAACGAACTAATGGAAATTCAAACTAAAATCATTTATATATTTCAATAGAGTGTCAAAAGCTGTACAAAACTGATCAATTATCTTGAGGGTGGGTGTGGGTGTGGCTACTGCTTTTATTCATTAACAACACCCACACCCTCAAGATATGAATGATTTTTTATATATATATGCCTAATGAGATTTTATTTTCATGTATAAATAAATTTTTAATATTTTAATAAAGTAAAATTACTCTTTTGTGGATCTATTGAAAAACAAACATTATAATTCCTTCTGTACTTATATATATAGAAGTAAGATCTAGGTGAACTAATAACCATTCGAAACTGTTGACAAATTAGTAAATTCATATGAATTTGATATCTTCATCATCTCACAAAACAATAGCAATTACAATAAAGACAATAAAGAAAAACTTTAAAGGGTCAGATCGCACTCTAAATCACTTATTGAATGGTTAATCATTGTTTTTTTTGTTTGAGTCGACGTTCTTTTTTTACTAAACATCTGCATACTTTTCTTTTTTCTCTTTTTGTCAACACACCAACAACAGTTAATAAATGCATGTCGAAGCGGTGTATTTAACCAAAGTACATACAGTTTCTCTATTGCCACAGCTAAAGGTATGGATACTAATGTTAGTATAAAGAAATGAATCGAAAGAATACGTTTTGGTGCCATTAGACAAGTATAAATAATCGACGGCAAACCTCCACCAGTAAAGATACCGATGAAAATAAGAATGTTTTTCAGTAATTTTGCTTCACGAACAGGATTGGGACGATGTTGTTGAGACGAAGAAGAATAGTAGTTTACTCGATAGACAATTATTATGTAGATTAAAAGAATGATTAATACTGGTATAAAATATTCCGTTAAATAGAGATAGTAAAGATGAAATATATGATTTAATCCAATTGTACAGAATATACCTGTTCGATAGATAATATTTTCATGATTGATTAATATTGTGATCGGTGTTAAAAATCCCATCATCCATTGAACAGCTATTAAAAAATAATGAAATTTCCATGTTAGCAGACATCGACGATTCATGGGAAATACTGTATGAAACAAACGACTAAGAGCTTGAAGAAGAAATGATGATGTAAGTAGAGTAGTAGAAACAGCTGTGAGATAGGCACGAAGGATACAAAATGTTCGACTATCTTTTCCATTTGGATAAAACGGAATAAAGACGACCATAAAGACTTGAAGAATGATTGTGCTTGAATACAATAAACTGATTAGACAGGTATTGCAAATTAGTAGATTTAATAATGTTTGAAGTTTTTTAACAGTCAGAGTTACATAAAAGATAACAATAGAGACGAATAAAATGATTAGAAAAGATATCGTGTAAGTAGAATAGATCAGAATAACTGAAAAATATGAAGGAGCCATGTCAGTGCTGTTGTACGGACTGTAGATAAACATTATGTGTGTTGAATTGAAACTGATTATTTTTCTTTTTCTACTCTTTAATAGTAATGGTGAAATAGTAATAGTTAAAGTCAATCTTTTATGAAATTATATTCTATAATGACTTCCTCTCACGCAAATAATGATAGATGAAAGTTGAAGTTCTTCGTTCTCTTTTCTTCCTTTCTATTTCCAAACGCATATCATGCACATGTTAATGACATCATCTTCCGTCAATTGATGTGAAATAAGAGTGGGTGTGGGTGTGGATGAGTTAAGAGTAGAGATACCCTCACCCATACTCCTATCCACACCCATCCTCAAGGTAGTTTTAAAAAAACAGAAAAATGAAATTGTATAGTTTTCAGTAGTTTTATTACACAAAAAAAACAGCATCAAGATAAAACTGTGTTTAATAACGTTTTGACAATCGATAGATTTGTTTAGTAATATCCTTGGCGAAATTTTACCACCAGATATATACTTTTTTATCAATACATTCCACTATATAATCATCAAGTAATTTATCATTTTTAATTATCATTTTCATGTTTTCTTCCGTTTCACCAGTTTCGTCTCTAAAACACAAAGAAGATAAATGATGATTATTGTTATTGGTTTTAGATAAAATTAATCCCATTAGACTTCGTAAAATATCAGTGAAATGATAATGTACTTCCAAATGTTGTAATCGTGGACACAAGGCAAAGAATAATTCAACTATTTCCAATGAACCATCATAGGTCAACGTCAGATTTCTGACAACATTTGTTTTAGATACCAACTGAAAAATTGCATCTTCCTGAATTGTTCTAGGATTCATTTCATCAATTGATATATAATCAAATTTTAGTCTATGAAGATTTACTGCAACACTTAATAGTTTAACAAATTGCATAAAATGTATAGGTGAATCTTCAACAACTAGTTCAGTAAGTTGTTCTAAAGAAATAATACATGGTAAATTAATATCCATCGAATAGTCAGATGAAGGCCAAGAATATTCGAAAGTTAATTTCGTAGCATTCGGAAAATAATTTCCAAACTTGTTGATTGTGTATGGATTGCCCATGTCAATATGATGAACAGAATCAAAGTTTAATTTTTCTTCAGTTATTCCATCTAATAGAAATGTTGCTCTTCTAAAAATATCAAAAATAGATTATAGTACATAAATAAATTTATCTTATATACTTATATGGTTTTACTGAAAAGAAAAGAAAATCATTTTCACTGTGTCCACAAGAATGTTGAGTAGAAAAAAACCACTGTCGTTCGATCCAAAAGGAAGAAGTAAATTTTTTTATCAGATTTTCATAACTAGGCATCATATTTTTTTCAGGATTTGTAGAATAATTATATTGAAAATCGAATATTATTAAATTTGGTATATGAGACAAGATTAAGTTTTGCCATCGATTTGCATCTAAGTATGTTATTTCATTACTAGCACAGAGACGTAATACCTGAAGATTATGGAAGAGATCTTTAGCCAATAGTTTGAATTCATGAAAATCGAAAGACCGTAGTTTAAGTGATATATATGTTAAATTGTTCAATGTAATAGAAAACGTCATATTTTGTCTTTTTTCAGGTTTGTCTAAAAAAGAAATCGATAAACGACGGATTTGTGGAACATATGATAATATAACATAAAGTGTATCAAGTTGAATATCATTTTTAATAACAAGATGTTCAATAGAACTATATTTATTGGTAGCAAATGGTAATGATAGTACTATAGGCATAGAAACCCATCCCAATAATAAATTAAAATACTTTAAAACTGGTAGTTGAAATACTTGATGATAAACTTCACTTTGATCAATCTTAGTATAACCATCATAAACGATGGTTAATGAAGATAGTTTTGGTAAACTAATCAAATATTGAAGATTACGAAGATATGATGATGAAATATTAGTAAAAATAAGTGTTTCAAGTCGAGTTAGTTTTGAAATATTGTCTTGTGATAATAAGATAATATTAACAGCCAATATATTTGTTATGCGAAGTGATTTTATTCGTTGTCGATAAGGTATAATTATATCTTTATAATAACGTTGAAAGGTTGGTTTTGATATAGATGAAATATTGATGTTAATCGGATGATTTGAATTGATAATAAGATTTGCAAATCGTTGATTAAGATTTGAAAAAGTTTCATAGATATAATGAAAATCAAAATATTCAAATATTTCATAAATAATTTCATTAGATAAATCTTCGAAATATCTAATAGATTTTGTACATAAATTAATATCAAATGAATCTTCAGGTTGACGTGCACTATGGAATTGTTTTCTTTTCATATCATCAGAATCGTCAGTACCAATATTTCGTTGTCGTTTTATTTGTTTCATAATGCGCTTTTGTTTTTGTAAATCAAATACAAATAAGAAAGTGCGAATAAAAACTAGAAAATAATTATATGTTCGACGATCATAGAACAGAAAGAAATTGCTACGATGTAAATCCAACGTGTCTATGATAGAGCCATGCATATAGATATATTTTTTCTTTTCTTCGTTCTATTCTTTATTTTCTCCATGTGTGCGTTTTTCGAAAATAAGGAAGCAAAAGAATATTTGAAAGTGAAACATGGATAGTGCTGAAAATTTTCTTATCATAATTCAGTCGTTTAACCCTTTACGGCCGAGTGTTGCCAAAAGGTAACAATTTTGCCGTAGGGGATACGGCATTTTTTAAAAAGTTGGCTGTGAAAAATTGATCCCTATGACTAAACAACCACGAATATATAGAAAGATAACGTTTTGCTTGTTGTCTTCTGGTAGCCGGCCGTAAAGGGTTAAGATAATAAAGTTACATATTATTACAAAGTTTCTCAAAAATTCTGATCACTTAAGAGATTTAGATATTTTCACTATTAATCAGAGATGAATCAAATATTTTTCTTATTTGATAGAGAAGAACAGTACGTAATATATATGTCGTTTTTCATGTATTTATTTCTATTTTCATTGTGATTATCGAGTTAAAGAGGCAACAAACTCTTAAAAATGTCCAACTGGGTGTGGGTGTGGGTGTGATGGGTGCGGGTACGTCTGGAATCAACCATCCGCATCCACATCCACACTCACACCTTATATAACAATAATTAAAAGATTTTTGCTTCTCTATATGTGAAGCAAAAAGCATCCATTTACACAACTGTATTTTATCTTACTGAATAAAGTGAAATAAGAACATTTTGGGCGCAACAACTACGTACTGGTACCGCTGCGTTTGAGAACACCATCTTATTGCTGTTGATATTATATAAAAATATGTAAGTTCTTTCATATTTGGATGAGATCGAGTCTGATTTTTTTCTTTTTTGTTGTATTTAAGTTTTTGTCCGAGTGCAAATCTATATTTAATTAGATATAACATTTTAATTTTAGGAAAATCAAAGTACTAGTAGGCATGCTAAGAACATCCTTGATAGTCATTCTTTATTATATCCTCTTAACCTTGTCTTTGTATTCTAAAGCAATCATTTTCACCAACAGTATAACAAAACTAAATTGTTGAAAAGAGAAACTACTGTTGTCAGATAAGGAACAACTTGTGAGCTTGTCTTTTCGGTTTGAAAAAGCATATTTTGGTAAAATAACGCGTTTTTATCAAGTTTAATGAAAAAGTTCTCAACGCTGAGGAGTTTTATTCTAATGAGAAAAATTATGAGACGGCATATAGGCCCATGTTTAAGCCTATTAAATAATATATCTTGAAGGTGTGGGTGAAGACTAATCTTTTCTTTATTCACACCCACATCCCACAACCTGCAAAGCTCAAATTGTTAAATTAAACTAATTGAGAGCTATATGTATATTACTCGAAAATCATCTTTTTACGTTTGTCGTGCTTACTAGAATACAAACGTCACACGTTACAACAAAAACAGCTTTTCGTAAAATTTTACCAATATGACATAAGTTGAAGAGTGATCGAATAATACAGAAAAATAGAACATCTCAGACATTACCTTTGATATGACCTGATTAAAAGATTTCTATGAACTAAATTTATCTGCATAAAATAATAAAATGCGAAATAAGAACTCTCCTTTGTATATTATATTGTAGTTTGATCGTTCAAAAAAAGAGATCTCAGGAATAATTGTTCTGTGACATTTTTCTTCACACGGATGGCTACATTTTCCTTTTAGTTTCAAAAAAATATAAAATTCACTCATGTACTCAAAGAGAACGTTGATAGTTACTAGCTGCCATCGACTAAAAAGATTTCCAAGAAGCTGCTGTTAAAGTAATGATCATTTTCTATATGTCCATTAAAAACCACTTAGTTGTTTGTATATAAATAAACAAAGCACTTTTTATTCAAAAATGATTTTAAAAATAGTCTGATCTATATTATAATATTGTTTAACAGCAGCTTAGAAAAGAAAAAATAGATATTTTAATTTTCCTCAATTACAACGTTTCGATAAATTTATTATTATTATCAAGTACAATCGCTTAAAATACAGTTATAGAACTATTTGAATTAAATTAAAATTACAGAAAATATAATTCAAAGTAAATTCCGTTACAGAACAAAAGCAATTCAAATTCAGTAAAGTTACAGTTAGGGGTAGGACAGTTCGTAGTTCCAAGTTCGGATGAACTGGTCAAAAGAACTACCAGTTCAGTTCTTTTGAAAGGAACTGAACTGAACCAACAGTTCTTTGAATAGAACTGAACTCTACCAAACAGTTTAGTTCTATTCAAAGAACTGTTAGAACAGTTCCTAAGAACGGAACTAATATGGAACTGTCCTAC